AAGTGTGCATCTCACCACAATTGGATTTTGTTTCTAATTTTCTGTGCATCGTTGTTTTGTCTGAGTGGATGTCTGCATACCATGCATGTCTAGTGTCCATGGAGGCCAGAAGATGGAATTGAAGCCTTTGAAACTGGATTTACAAATAGCTGTGAACTGTAATGTGGGTGCTGGGAATTGAACCCCAGTCCTCTGGAAGAGCAGCCAGTGCTCGTAACCACTGAGCCATCTCTCCAGCTGCCCAGTTGGACTGTTTATCACTAAGAAAACAATGTGTGCAATGCTGGCACAGCCGCAGAGAGAAAAAAGAAACCTTTCTATAGAGGTTTTATGTATTCGTGTTGTATTCCGCCACATTGCTGAAAGTGTTCGTCAGCTCTAAGAGTCTAGGGTGTAATCAATCTCTAGGGTTGATTAGCTATAGAATGAAGTCATCAGCAAGTAGGGATACAATGACTTCATTGTTCTATTTCCATCCCATTTATTTCCTTCTCTCATCTTAGTGCTCTTAGCTAAGACTTTAAGCAGTGTGCTTGTCCTTATGTATAGTTTTTCAAGAGAATAATCAGGGTTCAGTTGTCAATAGTAGTTGAACTGTTCGAGTCTGAGACTGATATTTTTCATTCTCTATTTCACTGATGAAGAAAGTTAATTTCAATATTGCCCAATTTATGGCCCTTTGATAATTTGTGGTTCTCCTGACCTCTCATTTGACAATTTGCACAAATGTGGAAGCAGTATTATATTCTCAGGTAGATAGAGTTACTATGAAGATTATCCAAGGAACACAGGCAAGAACTCTGGCTTAGCCAGTAAGTCTAACAATGGAAGAGGGATAAATCTGGGGAGAAGACAAGAGGCTGAGGACCAAGTAGGAGAATAGAGGGATGGAGATACTAACAGTGAGGGAGTCAAATGCATCCTCCTAAGTAAACATTCCTCAAAGGCTTCACAAGGACACAGACTTATCCTAGCATTGTGCTATTGAAAATTCTTATAATTTCACACTCAACTATCATATTTTCTTGTGGCCATTTTTTAAAACAATATGATTCTCTCTTTCTCAGGCAACTGCCAACTGCTCCTGCACTTCCAGGAATTGTTTCTAAGCAGACAGAGCAGAATGACTGGACTCAGTGTGGACAAAGGCATGGATCAGTATTCTCAGATGTCCAGCACATTCCTTCCTGGGGGATGTGCTCACTGTCCCCTTGGCGATCTGTCCTTAGACTAGTCACCTAATGTCACAGATCATAAGACCGCATTCCAGAAAGGACATTTCCAAGAACACAGCACCCCTAGCTGATTCACCCCTGCACCTCCAGGAGCGTGTGCACACTAACTCCACAGTCCCTGAAAAGCCGCTGCACACCGTGGCCTATTGTAGCTTTGCGCTCTTTATCGTAAAATCCTCCCTACAGTTGAACTAAGTCCCTGTCCTTAAAATTTCTCCTCACTGACTAATTCTACAACTCAGTAAACCATCAGTGATCATTTCACTAGGTGTGAGGCTTTCTGCTAAACCAAGACACTGGTTGAGGAGCTCGCAGCACATGAAACCATCGTAACAAGATCACAAGTGTGTCCAGCATAGCTGGCCAGCGGGGGCCAGAAGGGATTCAGATTAAACAGGTTTACCAGGGAAGCCTCTCTTCAGAAAGAAGGACTATGATGGGCTACTCGGTATTACATAGTCAATTAAGGAGTTTATTCCTTGGAAAAGACTAATTCTCCTTCTCTCGGCAACTATTAATTACATGGACTCCTTTGTCTAAGAGTGGGGTCCTATGACATTTCCCCCTTCCATGCTAGCATGTCTTTGGGGTTTTACTGTTCACATCTTGTCTAGGCAGCAATCGTGTGGAGATATCATGGATATAGATTATCAGCCCTGAAATCAAATACACACAAGCAACCCTAAAAGGACTCATCCGATTGTATTTATATATGTATAACATAATAAAAACAAAGAAAAAGAGGTAAAGCCAAGAATTTGAGAGAGTGATGGGAAGGACGTAGAAGGAGTTGGAGGGTGGAAAGGGGAAGGGGGTGTTATGATTAATTTTAATTAAAATAAATTTTAACTAATAGAGAGAAAAAGGAGACTTTGAAAACTAGTAAGAACATAATTGAGTGGGAAAGACTGATCATGAAGGCACCAGAGGGACCGCATATGTCAAAGGACGGAAGTTTTAAATAATTGGACAGACTGTTAAAGAAGCAGGTGTTTACTGCTGCATAAATGATGTGGATATAAGGATGTACATATTGAAAGAGAGAGAGAGAGAGAGAGACCTTATTGTAGAGGCAGCATTGGGCAAACTTGATACTGAGAGTGTGTGGTGGATGATATTTTAGTCTCTTTCTGCTGCCATGATAAAGCATTCTCACTAAGACTAAAGGCAACTTAGGGAAGAGTTTATTTGGCTTACACTGCCATGATGCATCACTGAAAAAAGTTGGGACATGAACTCGAGACAGGAGCCATGAAGGAACACACACGCACACACACACACACACACACACACACACAGGTTCAAAGTTATCCATCCCAGGATCACCTGCATAGGAATGTGCCACCCACAGTGGGCTGGACTTTTCTGAATCACTTAACAACCAAGAAAATCCCCCCACAGACATGACCACAGACTAACCTGATAAAGATAACTATCAAATTGAGTCTTTTTCTAATGACCCAGGCTGTGTCCAGAGGAGAGTACTAAATAGGGAAATTTGTATAATAACTTCCAAAGATTTTTATAGCCCAGTCTCTGTTTTCAAGGAATGCTACTATATATGTCCCCAAAGGACTTTTAACATCTGGATTATGTTAAGGATTGTGGGGTGAAAGGTTATCATGTTTCATGTGGTTGGGTCCCTAAATATGATCACAAATAACCTTATGAAAGAGAAGTAGAGGTCGAAGTCAGAGTTTAAAGGTAGAAAACTTGCCTAGCACTGCAAAGTCAAGTATTTGACTGCTGGAGTCTGGGAGTAGGGGTCGACTACAGAATGAGGGATGGGGGTGTAACAGTGAAAGCAGGTTTGGAAGTTATATGCTTGGAAGATGGAGAAATGGGTCATGAGCTATGGGATACTGGAGGAAAATACATGTTTTTTCTTTAGTGTCTCCAGAGGGAACTATCCTGTGGCTGACATCTTTATTGGTTAGCTCCATAAGATGTTATCCCTCTTAAACTTGAGTAATTCATGGCATCATAAGCTACTGTTTGAAGTTTCATAGGAAACTCATAGGTTTATAACTCTAAGAATATAGAATTGAATTTCTTGTTCACTAAGGTGCACTTCCAGTAAGCTGACTAAAAAATATTATTTTCTCAAGGGTTGATAAATTCACCAAAATCCCACTAATAGGAATAAATCTGTAAATTTATCTCAAATATAACCTTGTTGCAGACAATTATGGGTTCACTTCATCTGCAACTTGCTAGCTGCTATGTGACCTTGGGTCCAATACTGAATATTTCTGGACTTATTATTTCATTCAAGGAAACAATAATTATTACATAAACTTTCCAGTGTTATTTTTAGGATCCAGTATATGGAAGGAACAGAAGAAATGGGAGAGAACCCATCTGTTACAGTCTTAGAACATACCACACAACTAATCCCACAGAGGACAAAGCCAACAAGAAAACAGAAAAGACCCACATGGTTATTGGTTTGAAATGAAGCCCAGACAATGAAGCTACACAAAGTCAAGGTCGCCTGGAAAGGAAAGGTAGTGAGTCCTGAAACAACTAGAAGTGGGGTGGAGACAGTGCACCCCACCAGAGATGGCAGCATTCATGAAGGAAGCAAATCTCCCTGAGATGTTGGGAGACCACGAGGACAAGCAAGAAATTTCCATTTAGAAGTTTGTTCTAGAATGGAGCTGAATGGCTCAGAGCGAGGTTGGGACCATGACCTTACATTTCCCTAGAGTACATAGCAGGGGCATTGAGACAGGGCTGAGTGTGGTGGAGGCATGGTCCTAGCTTTAATTCCAGAAGGACTAAGACAGGTAATACACAGAATCTGTGCTCAGATTCCAAGAGGGAGCACTGGAAATGCCTTTAAAGAAGCATCCTCAGGGGCTGGAGAGATGGCTCAGAGGTTAAGAAAACTGACTGCTGTTCCAGAGGTCCTGAGTTCAATTCCCAGCAACCACATGGTGACTCACACCCATCTATAATGAGATCTGGTGCCCAGAATACTATATACTATATATAAATAAATAAATTTGAAGAAGAAGAAGAAGAAGAAGAAGAAGAAGAAGAAGAAGAAGAAGA